GTGGGGTGATGGATGGGTGATGGGTGATGGGTGGGAGGCCAAGGCTGTCATCTAGAAGGTTCTGCCACACAGCATTTGACCCTCATTAGGCTCTTCAAATTACCTCTCTCTGGGGGAGGTTAAGGGTCGTTACGGAGTTAGAATCTGTGGGTAACACGTCCTTGGTGGTGCGGGGGTTATGGTAAGTTATAATTGGTCTCTGATCAAAGTTTGCCGAGGATGAACTCCATGGATCAGCTGAAGATTAAACACCCTAACCTAACCTAACCTATCCTATCCTAATGCTCGCCTACCTTAACCTAACCAGTCCTTACCTTGTCTACTCTAACCTAAGCTAAATTACCTAATGCTAATCTAACCTAACCTACCCTAACCTTGTCTACCCTCACCTATCCTATCCTAAACTAACCCGATCTAACCCCCACAAGCTAGGGTGTCTAAACTTCAGGTGATCCAACTCTAAACTCTTCTGAACTAACCGTCAGTAATATTTATAGAGTAGTAGTCATTGTTACATATTAATCTAGTAGTGTCTGTGGTTAAAAGTGTATCATGATAAAGTTACAGTGATTTAATCGAGGTAATATAGCGAGTCGTGTCTTTCAATCAACATCGATTAGTGCCTGCGGTGTACACAAAGATAATCAATGTTGAGGCAAGAACATTTCCCCTGAACATGTTGCTGGATCAGTAAATCAATCATGGTGTCATTCTCACATCTCAGGGTTGGCGACCACGGCCCACCACTCCAAGTATTTTTAGAATGTTTTTATTAATCAATTCTCCCACATAATATAATTTATTATTGGACACTACATTTTTTCTTACGTCGCTCATCCATGTCAAGCTCTACCTATTCCCTGGTTCCCTTACCTTTAATTCCACCTATTGTTATCTCTATCATTAGCCCCACATCCTTAATTACCTAACTATATCAACCTATTATTCCCATCCTATAAGATTATCCCCATCGCTTTAGCTACTCAAGGTTGCCAAACATTAGCGCCTTCAGTATAAACACAAGAGTCAGTTCAGGAGTAATGTTGTTATTCAGATTATTAATGTTATTGTCATGGTTTAACACAGGTGAGGAGGCGGTGCAAGGTAGCCGTGACACAGGTGAGAGAGAGAGAGAGAGAGAGAGAGAGAGAGAGTGTGTGTGTGTGTACTGAATAACCACATAGGAGTGAAGAATATGTGGTATTCCCGTAGAGTTTATCAAGGACACACACACACACACACACACACACACACAACTAATTACAAAAAATCAACACCAACTAACTCATTCTTCTTCTTCTTCTGAGAGAGAGAGAGAGAGAGAGAGAGAGAGAGAGAGAGAGAGAAAGCGAGAGAGAGAGAGAGAGAGAGAGAGAGAGAGAGAGATGAGAGTAGAGAGAGAGAGAGAGAGAGAGAGAGAGAGAGAGAGAGAGACTAACGCGGGAATACGCGAAAAATTAATTCCTTAACCATCGAATACAATCTACCTTCGAAATAATCTATCTATCTATCTATCTATCTATCTAACTATCTATCTATCTATCGATATATCTGTCTGTCTGAAACCTCAAACGAAACAAAAAACAAAATCCTTCAATTCCTCCAAAAAATTATTTCCAGACCACGAGAAGATTGTAGGTGAGGAAGAGGGTGAGGGAGAGTGAGGGAGAGGGTGAGGGAGAGACGAGAGGGCGGAGAAGAAAGAAGAGATGAGAGAGACTTTCAGTGCATTATAATCAAGTTCCCGCAGGGCCTGGAAAGGTGAGGCAGCTTAGGTCACAGCAGGTCACGTTTATCAGCCAGAGTTCCTGAGGTCAGATGAGGTGGGGAAGGGAAGGGGAGGAAAAGGAGTGGTGGAGGGTGGGGATGGAGGGAGGAAGGGGGAGGGGTGTTGGAGTGGTGGGAGGGTAGGTGGGGATGGAGGGGAGGGAAGGGGAGGGTGTTGGAGTGGTGGAGGGTAGGGTGGGATGGAGGGGGGAGGAAGGGGGAGGGTGTTGAGTGGTGGAGGGTAGGAGGAGGGAAGGAGAGGGAGGAGAGGGCTCTAACCACGCCTTTTATGTCCTCCCCTGCTCACAGTGCTGATGGCAGGGTTCTAGTCATGATGAGGGAGGGAGGGGCGGGGTGGGGAAGGGGAGAGGGTGGGGCATGGGAGAGGGGATGGGGGAAGAGAGGGAGGGGGAGGGATAGGGTTGGGGGGTGAGAGGAGGTCCCCAGCCACTTCTGTGGCCCCTGGCGTCTTGTCTTCATACAGATTATAGTGTTGTTTGGTTGCTCTCCCATAATACCTTATTTCTTGTCAAAATTACATCTTTTCCTTGGTCTCCATCCTTTCAATTCTCTCACTCTCACTCTCTCTCTCTCTCTCTCTCTCTCTTAATATTTCTTACATCTCCTCTATTTACAAACATCCAAAAAAGCTAAAAAAAAAATATAGACCCCAATAGCATCATCAACCCAAACATCTTTCACATCAATAAAACTCTACATTCATTTTACTGTCCTAGTTAGTAAAATCCTCGCCCTTACTACCCTGACTGACACGGTATATACGGAGCGAGGATGATTTTTTGAAGAGGGTGTTTACTGCACTTAAAGATGAGTAAGTTATCTAAGTGATATATAAATTAATGTGATGTATATAATTTTCTCATGGGTTTAGTGTTGCTATATATATTTCTTCTATCCATTTCTATCCATGGATATATTTAGTTTAACATTGAAGATAAATATATTATTAATTTCTGGATTAAAAGTACACAATTACAAGAAAAAAAATCTTTATTTGAATTATATTGAACAACTCAGTATATTGAAACCCTCAAAATTTACAAATACAACATTATATACAAACAATACAGTACACAATCTACAGTAACATTTGACAATACACCCGGAAATATAATACATACAGCCATACATAAGGGTTATGGTAAGCTCTTATCCTATTGGTCCACAAGTCACTGACGTCACAACACAGTCATCTCTGGGTCTATATCGATTATATGACTTAAGACAAAACCCAAATTCTCAAAAGATCGTATAGTAAATATTCCAATTAAATAGTGAGGTGATAAAGCAGTTAGATTTAAACCCATTTTTTTTAAGCTTCGACGCAAACATTGAAGTCAATACGAAGCCAAATACCTGTTGGGAATTTAAAGTAATGATAAGGTTTTTTCTGATCTTCTTCTGTTAAGGGATAGAATTTAACGATAGGTGTGTGTGTGTGTGTGACCGGGTGATGAGTCGTGACGTGCAGGTAGACACACACACACACACACACACACACAGCCGACCAACCATCACGATATAACTAGATTCTAAAATAAAAGTTTAATTCTTCGTAAGTCTTAGATCCGACTAACTCATAAACTGGTGTACTGTAGATATGAAAATTATATTACCCTAAAAATCACACGAAAAAAAACCTCCCACAAAATCGACTTATATGATACAATATGATCTTAAAACAATGATTTATTTACAGAATATACATTACAATTATCACTTATATGAAAACCTAAAAAAAAAAAACAGTAGAGAAATTACTTAAATAAAAATAAAAAAATAAATAAAAATAAACAATAATAATAATAATACTAAACAAGAAGCTTATTTGTAGAGTTACGTATAAGGCTATGTTGTGTCGTCACCTCAGAGCACTGTATGTATGTATGTATGTATGTATGTATGTATGTATGTATGTATATAAGCGTGTATAGGTGAACAATTATGTGTATGCGCGTGTGAATATATATATGTGTGTGTGTATGTATGTATGTACGCGTGTGACTGTGTCTGTGTGTATGTATCTCGGGAACCTCACAGTATGAAGGCAGGTGAGGGTGTGAGGCGCGCGAACTGACTAGATTATCAGAGGGAAAAGACGGACTATCTCACCTTCGTTACCTCCCTCATTTATTATCTCTCAGCCACCTAGTAATATACCCAAGGCCAGGCTATATTAGGTCTCTATAAAGTTATATTATACCTGTGGGACATTTTATGACACCGGTTATGGCCAGGTTGAACTATACCTCTTTAAAATTATATTACATGGCCCAACTTATGATGTTGTTATATTAGGTTGTTTGGTCAAGCTATATTTTAAGTGGTATAAATTATTATTCGGCCAAGATTTATATTGTCTTTAGGTCATAATATGTCTGACGGTGGAAGTTATATTATCACGTTAAATTACACTATGTCCCGGAGATGCTATAATATGTATTTCTGTATTTTACCATTTGTTTTAGCCATATTGTCTCTCGGTTAAAGTATATAATATGGCTCTAGAATATATCAATAAAATATCATCCTATTTTAAATATAACGACGTCATTTAATTAAGGAATGTTATGTAATGTCTCTCACTATTGTTATTTAATGTCTCAACGAACATATTATGGCTATAAAGCTATATTACTATATGTATCATGGCCATGTTCTATCATTTCTCTCGATCATGGTGTAATATTTCTCATTTATGCTACAATATGTCTTTAGTCTCTCATGCTATATCATGTCTCACGGCCTTGCTCTATAGTGTCTCATTCACGCCATATTATTTCAACTGATCAAGATACAATATGTTATGTCTGACAGAATTATATTGCCTACGATAAGGCTATATTGTGTTTTAATTTGTCTTACGGTTCAGGCTATATTATGTCTTTTATTGTCTTACGGTCAGGCTATAGTGTGTCTTTTATTGTCTTACGGTCAGGCTATAGTGTGTCTTTTATTGTCTTACGGTCAGGCTATATTATGTCTTTTATTGTCTTACGGTCAGGCTATATTATGTCTTTTATTGTCTTACGGTCAGGCTATAGTGTGTCTTTTATTGTCTTACGGTCAGGCTATAGTATGTCTTTTATTGTCTTACGGTCAGGCTATAGTGTGTCTTTTATTGTCTTACGGTCAGGCTATAGCGTGTCTTTTATTGTCTTACGGTCAGGCTATAGTGTGTCTTTTATTGTCTTACTTATAGTGTGTCTTATTGTCTTACGGTCAGGCTATAGTGTGTCTTTTATTGTCTTACGGTCAGGCTATAGTGTGTCTCTTATTGTCTTACGGTCAGGCTATAGTGTGTCTTTTATTGTCTTACAGTCAGGCTATAGTGTGTCTTTTATTGTCTTACGGTCAGGCTATAGTGTGTCTTTTATTGTCTTACGGTCAGGCTATAGTGTGTCTTTCATTGTCTTACGGTCAGGCTATAGTGTGTCTTTCTGTCATGTTATCTCTCGCTCATGCTAACACGTCTCTTAAGTCATAGTATATCTCTCGGTGTTACAGGTAATATCTCTAAGTAAGCTCTACTATCTCCCAATCCTGGCTACATCTCTCGACGGTAGTCTCAAAAATTATAGTATCTCTTATTTCCGAGAGATTTTTTGGGTCGATAAATCTCCACTATTCCTCATTATTTCTCAATTAAATTCTTATCATTAATCCTATCATTGTATTAATAACTAAAATGAAACGAATTATTACATTTTTAAGGAGACATTTTTCACGGAATCTCATTAAATAAAATTCAAACCTTTTAATAATAAATTACTATTCAATTTACATATTTACCGAATCAAAATCCTTAAAAATTGTCTAAATAATACTACTCTATTTTTCATAATACTCTTCATTTATGGTTTAAAGTTGAATAAAATAGAATGTTCCTGTCTGGAGTTGTCTTATGAGGAACGCTATTACTTGGAGAAATTTAAAGGTGCTGAAGGAGATATGGGAAGCTTAGGTACTGAAGGCTCAAGGAAGATTTGCAAGGCAGATAGAGTAGTGTTAGATATGCATCGTATGTAATCTAGCAGTGAATTTGCTCTGTATGCAAATTAGTGGTAGATATTCACCGTATGTAAACTCATGGTAGATCTTCACCGTATGCAAATTAGTGGTAGATTCGCTCCGTATATAAGCTTGCGGGGGATTTGTTCAGTGCGTTAACTAACAATTAGACGCTCCGTAGGTAAACTTACAGGTAGATTTACATAGCAGATAAAGTTACAGTGGGTTTACTCGGCAGGTTAACTAACAGTGGGCTTACATGATAGGTAACTAACAATAGCTTAGCTCGACGAGGAAAACTGATAACAGATTCGCTCGATAGGACAACCTTGGAAGAGTATTTTAAGTAATTATTCCTACAGCTACACAGATATACAGAATGTACACTTATACTGCGGGTGTAAACACAAACCCAGGGTATGTGTGTGTGTGTGTGTGTGTGTGTGTGTGTGTGTGTGTGTGTGTGTGTGTGTGTAGGGTGTGGACAATACACCAGCTAGGTCAGAATACTCCATTTGGGATCAAAACTTACACAGGTAGTTAAAACACCAGCTGGGATCATATTAAGATCAACTTAATGATGGTCAATTGTCAAGCTCTTAGGGAATCAGTGATGGGGAAACATGCTATGTCGACCCGCAGTATCGTGCGATGTAGTGAATCTTGATAACAGATCATTTAAATTAAACTCAATAGTAATAGACGTCATCATTTGTCTTGAATTATCACGTATCACTTATTCATAAGTTATCGTTTACTGTGATTTATGTCTCAGCGTTCATCACTTGTGTTGAACAAGTGGTAATATCACTATTGATGGCACTGGTTGGCTTAACAGGTGATCTGAGATGAACACTTGACGCCCAGGTCAATGTACTGTACAAAGATTTTTTTTTAAGAAAAATTCTACTCATAGAAGAAACAGCTAACGCTAATCTTATGATAGCTACTCTTTATATATGTATATATATATATATGAATATATAATTATATTTTGCACTTTCTATTGACTATCTTTCCTTAAGTCATTCTCGATAGGTTCACGAGCCCGGGCAGTGTCAACACCACACACTCCCCCACCAATTATTAACGAGAGTTTCACTTATGCGAAATATTATCTATTTTAAAAATAGTTCATCTGTATTATCACATGTCACTTTATAGACGGAGAGATCCGCCCTTCGTCTGCACACCAGCAGGAGTAGTGACCAGCGGCCTAACGTCCAGAAGGAGGTTTAGTCAGCAGCAGGAGTGCCCCGGACCTGCGTCGCATGATACACTACACCAGCGAGTATTGGTGATGGTCAACCTACCACTTGGGTAGGATGGTCGCGGTCTTAGGTCTAGGGCATCACAACATCAGTGGTGAACTCGGCCCATGTTCAGTCCCTAGCAGGAGTGCCATGGTCTACTTCGTAAGGGATCACGACACCAGCGGGGAGTGGTGACCCTCAGTCCATGATCGTGACTGAGGATCAGTCCCCAGCAGCAGTGCCACAGCCTCCGTCTCTGACATGGGTGACAGGTAGGAGAGGGACTCCATACTGTCCTGGAAGACGCCAGAGTCTGAGGAAGTACACAAGAAAGACACAAAATCAGAGTCTGGTGACGTGTGAGCGATAGACTGATGAGTCTTGGTGGGGCTTCCAGGGCAGAGGTCTGGTTGAGGCTCCTGAAGGTTGGAGGCGTCCTGCAGGATGCTAGAGAGTACCCAAGAACAAGTGTCCTGGTGGGCGTTACCGTCAAGGATGTCTTGCAGGGACCTGATGTAGGCAGAAGCCAGCCTCAGCGTGGTGATCTTCGTCATCTCTGAGGCGGCGCGCCGACTACACACCCACGACGGTAACACACCACGCAGGCTCTCGAAGGCCGTGTTGATCTGCCGCATGCGGTATCTTTCCCGAGCGTTAGCTGTCTTCCTGCGGTACCTAGACAGTGGAGGCGGCCGTTGCTTGTGCCGCAGTGTATCCTGGATGCTCCACTCGCTGTCACAGCGACGCCGCGGGTGAACAGATCGCGGGCGGAGTTGGTACTTGAGGCCGGAAGTCCCCGGTGTCTTGTTATTCTGAACATCATTTTGTTCTTTGTTGTTATTGTTATTATTGTCGTCCACCACATCGTTCTCACCCTCCTGCGCTCTCACTGGTTTTTCTATTTTGGCCATTTTTCTGTTCACAAGTTTTTTCCTCAAGAATAAATATGAGTCAACAACTACGACACACTGGGTAACTTATGTTCAGCACTTCACTGTGACTGTCGGTGCACCAGTTATATCTCTCGCGTTAGTCTCAACACTGTCGGGTCATCTGCAACATGAGAGAAGTCGTGTTTAAATAACCTGTAGTAAAGGAGACGATGATATACATGTCTGAGACGTGATCTTCGCAATAGCAAAATTCCAAATTAATGACAAATATCATCTTATCTTCGCTCAAACTATAAAACAAATTCTAAAAATTAAAATGAACTCCTTCAGTATCAACGTTGTATATAAATCCAACTTGCTTTCAGCTTCAAAAAAAGTTGATCAGGAGAAGCGACTCACATGTGTGTTGTGCAGGTGTGTAAGGGAGGCGAGCGTGGAGGCTGGGGAGGAGTGAGACACACGTACTACCTCGACGCAGGACTTCAGCCCACTGAACCCTCGCCTGCCCTCCCACCCTCCCAACCCATGCCCGGCACCCTGGCCACGCAGCCATATACGGTGTACAATTTGCAATTTTTTCCGCTCATATTATCATCCATACGTTCGATTTTGACACGTACTGGATAATTCAAGAGTAGGACTACCTGCCAGGCACAGTAGTTGGCCCCTGGGAGCGACGGCACGGTGAGGAAACGTATCTATATTCACAGATTTGACCTGGAAACGCAAGAGGTCATTCTAGCCTCGACTCTCCACTGATGAAAGTTATGTACATGTAAAGCAACTGACCAGGTATCGCGGTTCTCTTTCGTACACTTTTAATGTGTACACATAAATAAATGATTATTGAGACGTCGCTGATGCGTAGATATGTGGTATGTGCCTTGAGTCATGTGTTAACTATGAGGTGATGGGAGGAAGGTATGTGGTATGTGCATTGAGTCAGGTGTTAACTATGAGGTGATGGGACGTAGATATGTGGTATGTGCATTGAGTCATGTGTTAACTATGAGGTGATGGGGCGTAGATATGTGGTATGTGCATTGAGTCAGGTGTTAACTATGAGGTGATGGGACGTAGATATGTGGTATGTGCATTGAATCATGTGGTAACTATGAGGTGATGGGTGTAGATATGTGGTATGTGATGGGGCGTAGATATGTGGTATGTGCATTGAGTCAAGTGTTAACTATGAGGTGATGGAGCGTAGATATGTGGTATGTGCCTTGAGTCATGTGGTAACTATGAGGTGATGGGGTATATTCACTAATGGTTAAGAAAGTGACGGACGTGGGTGAACTTTGGCTGACTGTTATAATTTAACTTGGAGTAACTGTGTGAGTGTCACTACTACAACTGCTGGCTGTCATTGATCATGTAAGCCTTGATGACGACACACACACGCACACACACACACACACACACACACACACACACACACACACACACACACACACACACACACACACAGACTTGGTAGGAGATGTTCATTAGAAATCTTCCAAACCAGCCACCTCACACCCCTCACCTCCTCTCACACCCTCATCTCCTCCCTCACAGCCCCACCTCTCCCTCACACCCCTCACCTCCCTCCTCCTCACACACCTCACCCTCCTCGCCCCACCTTCCTCCCTCACACCCTCACCTCCCCCTCACAGCCTCACACCTCACACCTCACCCTCCTCACACACCCTCATCTCTCACACCCTCACCTCCTCCCTCACACCCTCACCTCCTCCCTCACACCTTCATCTCCTCCCTCACACCCTCATCTCCTCCCTCACACCCTCATCTCCTCCCTCACACCCTCACCTTCTTCCTCACACCCTCACCTTCTCCCTTACACCCTCACCACCGACCTTCACAGTAGCAGTGACGCCAGACAGGTACTTAGTAATGGTGAGCATTCTGTGTGGAATATGAATGTGGAATGACTAGTGAATGGTGTTTATAATGATGCTAATAATAATAATAATAATAATAATAATAATAATAATAATAATAATAATAATAATAATAATAATAATAATAATAATAATAATAATAATAATAATAATAATAATAATAATAATAATAATAATAATAATAATAAAATAACAATAATAATCTGAATGAGTATTTATGAGTTAATGCTATGACAATTAAAGAAAGGCTTAAATATGAGAGAGAGAGAGAGAGAGAGAGAGAGAAAGAGAGAGAGAGAGAGAGAGAGAGAGAGAGAGAGAGAGAGAGAGAGAGACGGCCAGGTAGAGCCAGTGTCATTATGGAGGCAGTGATGAAACACACACACCTGCGGCCACCTGGATGAATGGCCCCACTTGAACGGCCACACTCGCACCGCCGTACAAGGCACCACACTAGGCAGACCCCCTTTGAGGCACTTGTTCCCGGCGGCGGCGGTGTGAAGGTGAATGAGAGAACGACGGTGTGAGCATCTCGCCCCTACACACACAGACACTCACAAGGTGTATTCACAACAGCGGGTTTTAAAGAGATAATCTACCTATACAATTTCATTTAGCTCAGGTTATCTCTGTCCGTGGTTGAAGTGTATGGAGGTTTAATTTATCTATTTTCTTGCCTCTTAGTTGTTTCTTAAGGCTGTTGTTGTAAGTATTAGACGCAGGGATATATGAATACCTTTGTAAACACCAAGAGAAATTGGTTAGATTATTTTATATTTTCTCCAATGGTAGATATTTTAGTGTGTGTGTGTGTGTGTGTGTGTGTGTGTGTGTGTGTGTGTGTGTGTGTGTGTGTGTGTGTAAATAATAAGCGTCTTATAATTATGGAAAACAATAAAGTGATTATAAATTCGCTTAGAGCATTGTCTATGTTACTGGTATTTAAAGTTTCTAATTCCAAGACGAAGATGGGTTAATTACTAGACAGTTTCACCTCACCACCGCCAGGGGGAGCTCCGTGTGGTGTTGCTGCTGCTGCCTTTGAGGAACATCATTATAATTATTAAACACCTCTACCTGTTTTGTCTTGTTTTTTTTATCACCTGTACTATCCATAAATAGGGACACACACACACACACACACACACAGCTGCCGAGTTGGTACAGCGGTCGCCCAAGCCCCCGTCCGCCCAACAATGTACATCTACCTTCACAGTTGGGGAAGTGGAGGTGGTCAAGTGCAGTGTCGGACATGGTTCCTCCTTGTATACCGAAGGCTTAGTGGACAGTAGTAGTAAGCTGTACCCACAATGTCTCTTATGGGCCGTTGTGCCTAAGGAGCTGGCTTTCACTTTTCTTAGCGTACAAGATGAGGTATTGACACACTAATCCCAGGTAAAGTTTGTGTTCTATTCTCATTCTGAAATATCTGTGTATGTACTTGTTTCTGTATCTGTACTTGTTTCTGTATCTGTACTTGTTTCTGTATCTGTACTTGTTTCTATATCTGTGCTTGTTTCTGTACCTGTACTTGTTTCTGTATCTGTACTTGTTTCTGTATCTGTACTTGTTAATGAAGCTGAACTTTCATCTCTATATAAGTGTAGTTGTAAATGTACAAGTACTTCACCTTCAAGAGTGACTATACCTGTATTACTAACTATACCTGAACATGTATTGTACCTTTATCTAACATCGACACAAACAAACGCACATATACATATTAACATACACATACATAAACACATATTGGACAAACATACATAACATTCTACACTTAAAACAAATCAACATAAAACAGACAAAAGTTCAGTTAAATAATGTGGACCTGGTGGCACGTGGAGGTAAAGAGAGAATAGCGAATAAAAGAAATGTGTTGTAACTCAATAAGTTAAGAGCCAGCGAGGTAAGGCATAATAAACTCTCAACAATCAGCTGTGTTTTGCCTCACTTCTTGTTTCGTGGTCGAGTGAAAAATAAGATTCAGGTTAGACAACTTCATCATGTAAACAATACCAAGAGGCCGATGTACGATGATGCACAACGACGTACAGCTGGTTACTGTACGATGATGCACAACGACGTACAGCTGGTTACTGTATGATGATGCACAACGGCGTACAGCTGGTTACTGTACGATGATGCACAACGACGTATAGCTGGTTACTGTACGATGATGCACAACGACGTACAGCTGGTTACTGTACGATGATGCACAACGACGTACAGCTGGTTACTGTACGATGATGCACAACGACGTACAGCTGGTCACTGTACGATGATGCACAACGACGTACAGCTGGTTACTGTACGATGATGCACAACGACGTACGAGCCAGTACGTGCACTTGGTTACAACGATAATGCACAACGACGTACAGCTGGTTACTGTACGATAATGCACAACGACGTACAGCTGGTTACTGTACGATGATGCACAACGACGTACAGCTGGTTACTGTACGATGATGCACAATGACGTACAGCTGGTTACTGTATGATGATGCACAACGGCGTACAGCTGGTTACTGTACGATGATGCACAACGACGTATAGCTGGTTACTGTACGATGATGCACAACGACGTACAGCTGGTTACTGTACGATGATGCACAACGACGTACAGCTGGTTACTGTACGATGATGCACAACGACGTACAGCTGGTCACTGTACGATGATGCACAACGACGTACAGCTGGTTACTGTACGATGATGCACAAAGAGGTGGTGCTGCCACATGTACGATTATGCACAACAACATACCACTGCCTAGTGTACAATGTTATAAACCAATACTGCAGGCGCACGTGCGGGCGACGTGCACTACACACTGGCTGGCGTACGATGACGTAACACCCAGTGCCATCGGCTGCCGATGATAATTTATAAAATAAAAAGCCGCTGCCCGAGTTACGATGATAAACACCACAATGGTCCTTGTTGACGCAGGATGATATACTGCACCACCGGCTGACGGACCATGATATACGACACAACTGGGTGAGGCGCGATGATAAACAACATAACATTGCTGGCGGACATCCAATAAAATATTGGCAATATTTTCACGCTAGGCCCCTGCCAACCCCCCACGGGCACAACTAATACTGCGTCCAACAACTTAAATCAAAGTGTGCTTCATATATATATATATATATATATATATATATATATATATATATATATATATATATATATATATATATATATATATATATATATATATATATATATATATATATATATATATATATATATATGGGTGAACTCAGGGTGCCCCGGGCGCGTGAACAAGCACAATTTTTATAAGATAATTATGGTGTATCAACTGAGATTTGAATTGTTTTCGGATGTAAATATGAAAAATATCGACTTCATCAGCGAATACCACACTCAGCAGTCAACTGCCGCGGATACTCAGCTTACAGGTCAACACCAGGGAATATTCAACTACTAACTACTCAGCTCAGCTCTAAACTGAACAAACCACAAAAATACCTCAAATACTTCACAAATTTCTCATCGTTACAGGACGAATGTTCACACACACACACACACACACACACACACACACACACACAC